TTCTGAGGTGTTTTGCCTGAATCTTGGTGGTTTGGGTTTTTTCTGGGCTGAATCTTGGTGTTTTAGAGGTCCCCCAGAACCCTGAAGTTGAGAGATGGGGGAGCCTTGGGTTCCTGGGACCCCCAGCAGCCTGGAGAGGGCAGGGACCCTGTAGAGGGGAGACCCCAAATACACACGGGACTCCCAGCAACCCGAACAGGAAGGACCTCCAGAATCCCAAAGTGGAGAGACTAGAGAGAAGAAGCTCCTGGCTGGGGTTATTTGGGCTGAATCTTGGTGTTTTGGAGGTTTTTATGGTCCCAGGATGCCCAGTGAGTTCTAGAGATGGACTTGGGCAGGAGGAACCCCCAAGCCAATGCGCTCAGCCCTTGTTTCCCCCCAGCACGATTTGTCCTTCCCAAAGCTTGGGCAGATGGAGGAGGAGGCTGCGAGGAAGATGTCGCGAGCCCCCCAGGCAGGTGAGGAGGAAGTCAGTGCCCCTTTGGCCCTGTCTTGTGGTGCCTGTGGGGACCAGATCTGGGGGGGATGTGCTTGGCCTTCCCTCTGGGCCCAAGGCAAATCCCCTGCCTGTCCTTCTTCCTTCCTGCCCCAGGCCCCGAGCTGAGGACGGAGAGCACGGAGGACAAATCCCCCCGGCAGAGCCTGGTGGGAGAGGCCGTTTTGAAGGGCTCCCCGGTGCAGGAAGGCAGCGGGGAGGAAAAGGCCCGGAGATGCCCCCAGAGGAGGGGCTGCAAAGCCAGCCCAGGGAGCTCTGAGGAGGAAAGACCCGTCCTGTGCCGGGAAGGCAGCCAGAGCTTGAGCCGGAGCTCCGAGCTGGTGGTCCCTGAGCAGCCTCCCAGCAGGGAGAAGCCCTTCAGGTGCTTGGAATGTGGGAAGAGCTTCAGAAAGAGCACCCACCTCCTCAGCCACCAGCACATCCACACTGGGGAACGGCCCTACACCTGTAGGGAATGTGGGAAGAGCTTCAGGAGACACTCCAACCTGATTCAACACCAGCACATCCACACTGGGGAACGGCCCTACACGTGTAGGGAATGTGGGAAGAGCTTTAGGGACAGCTCCGGTTTGATCCGACACCAGCACATCCACACTGGGGAACGGCCCTACATGTGTAGGGAATGTGGGAAGAGCTTCAGGACCAGCTCCAACCTCTGCAGCCACCAGATCAGCCACACTGGGGAACGACCCTACAAGTGCTTGGAATGTGGGAAGAGGTTTCAGCGCAGCTCAACTCTCCTCGTGCATGAGCGGACACACACAGGGGAGAGGCCCTTCCGCTGCACCGACTGCGGGAAGGGCTTCAACCGGAATGACAACCTCATCACCCACCGGCTCATCCACACCGGGGAGAGGCCCTACAAGTGTGCGGAGTGTGGGAAGAGCTTCAGTGACAGCTCCACACTCCGCAAGCACCAGCGCATCCACACTGGCAAACGGCCCTACAAGTGCTTGCGATGTGGGAAGAGGTTTCAGACCAGCTCCAATCTCCTCAGGCATGAGCGGACACACACAGGGGAGAGGCCCTTCCGCTGCACCGACTGCGGGAAGAGCTTCAACCTGAACTCCCACCTAGTCACCCACCGGCGCATCCACAGTGGGGAGAGGCCCTACAAGTGTGGGGAGTGTGGGAAGAGCTTCAGCCAAAGCTCCCACTTGACCAAACACCAACGGACCCACCAGTAAGAGAAGCCCTAGGAATGCCCCGACTGCGGGAAGAGCTTTGGCCGCTGCTCCCACCCCGAATGACCCCCCTGATGGGGAGGCAACCCCTGGAGTTCAGTGACTGTCAGTCCATCCCTTTCCACCAGAAAGGGCCAGTCCCCTTTGCCAGGGGCAGGTTGTGCCAACAGAACCCTTCTTGGGGGTTGTGTGGAGATTCCTGCCTTGGCTGGGGACCCCCAAGGTCAGTGCTGGAGGTTGAGAGCAGAGATCTCCCCACGAGCGTTGGTCTGGGGGAGTTTCATCCATGTCTAATTCATAATTCTTACTTTGGTGCCAGCTGGAGTAGAATTGCTTCAACAATTGCTTTAGTGTTAGCACTGTCCTATCTTATGCTGTACTACTGGTAGTTTTAGTGTTTCTATTGTGCAGTAAATAATTCTGATGAAGATCTTTTCTCTGATCATTTGTTACCCTAAATAATTCATTTCTATCAATAGATATGATTTGCCACCCTTAAAACCTGGGGGACAAAAGTGGTTCAGTCCCACCTCTGTAATTCCTCTAAACTGAACCTGTTGGCATAACCCGAGGCTGAGATTGGATCCAGCAGCCCCAGCACCCCACAGTCAGTTGGGAGCTCAGGGAGCCACCCCCTTTTTCCAACACCCCTCAGCCCAAAGAGCCCCATGGTACAGTCAGACTGTGTAGACCACCCCTCTTTTTCTACCCTTCTCCCTGTTCCTCCCACTTTTCCATGGTCCCTTGTTACAATTTGCTTAAATACTGCAGAAAGAACTTGAGATTCAAATATTCCCTTAAGCAAAACTAAAACTCACACAATTACACAATTTATCTGTTGATACCAAAAACTGATTTTTATTAATGTCTAAGAGATGCAAAGTAAAAGGAAAAATAAGGAAAGGTTGGAAACTGCTAAGATTATTTCTAGAAGCAGAGAAAAAATACCACTGAAAAGTACCTTTTCCAGCTGAGCTGGTGAGTGTGGCAGAAGAGAAGCAGTTTCTGCTTTTTTTTCTCTGTCTCTGCAGCTTTTGGATGTTGTCTCTGTAGGTGCAGGGGGTCTGACAGCTTTAGTTCTCTGCAATGCACCTGTCCAAGGCCGTGCAGGGTCTCAGCTCAGCCGAAGCTTTGGGCCCTCAGAAATATGGTCAGGGTAGAAGGATAAGGTAGAACTCCCACATGTGGCACGGTGGTCTCAGCTCTCTCCAGGCCGGCACAGTTCCAGTCTCCGGTGGCAGGCAGGCAGCACGCGGTGGCAGAGAAAAGGTGAGGGGAGGTGGGCAGAGATTCTCGGCTACAGTCACCAGTTCTTCTCCCTTTCCTCTCCCTCATTTTCCAGAATTTGTCCTCAATTTTTATAGTGTTCACAGGAGGTTGAACGTGGTTTCTTGGCACGTAGCCAGTTGCAATGTTGGAGGAGAGATGATGACCCTAAACAATAACAGGATCTTTTGGCAGGAAAATTGCTGTGGGAAGTCCTGGTGGGAACTTCTGTCAGAGAATGTTTGATAGGAAGTTTTTGACAGGCAGAAACAATTTTTGTCATTTCCATATTATCTGTGTGTTACATAAGGTTGCCATGGTAAGTGACGTAACAGGAAAAGCATTATGGTTACCATGGTAACTGACCGTAGCAATGGGATAGTATGATGGTTGCCATGGTGAATGGCGTACCAATAAGAATGCATAATGGTTGCCTTATTAACCAACCCTAGCAATGTAAATGCACAATGAGAATGCATAATGGTTGCCATGTCAAATGAGGTCACAATGGGAATGCACAATGGTTGCCATGGTAACGAAGGACACAATGGGACTGCACAATGGTTGCCATGGTAACCGCTTGTAACAATGGGAATGCATAATGGTTACCATGGTATAAGGGGGTACTTTTGATTTGATGATCAGTGGAGCAGAGAGGGGTGACAAAGTGATTATATTAGGGTGTGAAACCAGCCAGAATGGTACACAAGGGAACTTTATTGCCCAAGTTCACTGTAAGGCCTGTTGTGCCTTTAGCAAAGTTAACTGGAGGTCCCCCATTATCAGAGCTGAGTTCCTCCTTGGCTTGGCTCCACTCTGCAAGAGAGATACAAATCCCCTTGGAACACAATGGTAGAGGTCATCCATAGGGCTGAGGAAGGTGATGGAGAGGAAGATGATGTGGGCAGGGGTCGTTGGCCCCTTGCCCTACAGTGGGGCACGCCCAGACTGTTGCCATGAGGTGATGAACGGGCGCTGTTTGGCTGCCACTCAAGCACCACCTTCTGCTGCGTCCTGGCCCTACGTAGTGTAATGTAGAGCTGATGGAATGGGGTGTCAGCACTGCTGGGTGGAGCGATGCTCATCCTTCCATCCACACTGTGCTGCTCCGCGGGGACACCCGCCAAGCACGGGCACCGACCAGCACTGCAGAGCCTGGTAAGCCTGGCCTGTCTGTGCAGGTGAGCATAGTTTATTGATAGGAAGCAACCAGGAAAGAAAACATTTTGTATTCTTTTTTTTTGTATTCCTTTAATTCCCTTTTTACTAGCTAATGTTGTAATAAAAGCTGATTGTAGTATTGTATGAATGCTAACTGATAAAGTAGTGGGTTTGTCTTCTTTTTTAGCTTTTTAACCTCTTTGCTAGTAGTCTTTAACTGCAATAAGAGATTTTTTGTAATGTTTGAATGACTGTTGTGCTTGTCTTTGTTCTGGCCATGGATCGTAACGAAGAGATACAGGGGGTCCCCAGGAGGCAGTTTGGGATGACCCGGGAGATTTGATGGAGGGAAGTTGGGGGTCCCCAGGAGTCTTGGGGGGGACTTGGGGGGTTCCCAGGAGTCCCCGGGCCCCCCAAACTCACCCAGCACCACCATGGCCTCGTTGGGTCGGCACGTGAAGAACATGGTGGTGGGAAGAGACCCCAGATCCTGATCGATTCTAACCAATCCCGATCGATCCCAACCGATCCCAATCGATCGGGATCCGCCCCACCGCGAGCACCGCCCTGCTCCAAGCAGCCCCCAAGCTCGCCAATTCTGCCTGGTGACCGGTGATGTCATGGATTTCACAGTGTTCTATTGGATGAGTCTCACAGGGGTGGGAAGAAGGGGCGGGCATATTCTTCTTGAAAACCAGTGATGTCATTAAACCAGCGCTGTCCTATTGGCTGTGACACTCGAGGGAGCTCCAAAACCTATTGATGGCTTGTGGGGGAAGGAGAGCTGGGATGACCAGGCACAGGGGTGCAGGGGGTTCCAGTGCCCAGGAAAGGGGCAAAAAATATTCCCCTCTCTCTCCCAGTACCCCTCTAACCCATTCCAGTCTCCCCTCTCTCCCAGTGCCCCCAGTTCATCCTAGTACCCCCTCTCTCCCAGTGCCCCCCATGGACCCGTGCCGCCCCCGTGCTGATTCTGGGGGGGTTGTGTATCCCCCCCTCCCCCAATGTCACTCTGCCCCAGCCCAGCTACTCCCAGTGTTGCCAATAAAGCCTCCTAGTTCTCACAGTCCCGGTTTTTGGGGGGCACTGAGGGGGCTCGGAGGGATCAGCCAGAAACATTTTTTAACCAATGGGAGCGCGCGGAGCTGATGACTCATCAGTTGCCAGGCAGCTCCCAGCGCTCCCCACCTGACCCCTGTTCCACCCCCCCCGCGGGTCACGTGGCGTCGAACCCTCCCCGCGCGCTCCTCGCCCCATGGGCTGGGCGCGCGCAGCCAATGGGAGGACGCGGAGTGGGCGGGGCGAGGCGGGGATTGGTCGGAAGGCGGAGGGGGCGGGGCCAAGAGCCGGGGCCGGCCCCGGCCGAGGTGCCCTCGGTCAGTTGGGAGTTGGGAGCGGCCGCGGCCGGACGGGCACAGAGAGCGGCCCCGGGGAGAGACCCCGGGGAGGGACCCACGGGGAGCGACCCTGAGGGAGCGACCCCCAGGGAGCCACCGCCGCCAAGGGCCCCCCCGGTGAGCTCCCCACCGAGCGGGACCGGAGCGGGGCCGGCCGGGAGCCGCCTCTTTCTCAGGCGGCTGCTGGGAAGGAGCCTGCGCTGGCAGGAGCGAAGGGGCTCGGGCTGAGGCCGGGCAGGGCCAGGGCAGGGATCGGAAGAGTTGTTTGCACCCACAGGGCGCTCGGGCGCTGCAAGAGCTCGCCCAGGTGGAGTCGCCGTCCCTGGAGGTGTTTCAGCGGCGTCTGGAGCTGGCCATGAGTGACGCGGTTCAGTGGTTTGGGGGTTCCTGGGGCGGTGCTGGGTGGGCAGTTGGACCTCATGGAATCGTGGAATGTGCTGAGCTGGGAGGGACCCCTCAGAACCTTCGAGTCCAGCTCCTGATTTCTAAAAACTGATGGAATGGGGATCAAACTATCGGGCTCCAAAAGGTCTTCCATCCCTACTCTACAAAATGCAGGCCTGTGTTCCCCACGGAGGGCAGGCTGGCAGTTATCAATGGGGACAATAAAGAAAAGCTCAGAGCTTTTATTTATTCATGGTCACCACATAAAACTAGCCCTCTGTTCATGGCTGTGTAGAACTGTCATCAAGTCCAAACTTTCTGGTGTAAATATCAGTATATTTGGATGCAATATTTGCATGCTGTGCTTCTGTGGCACCAAGTGGATTTAAAAGGTTGTAACACTTTATGAGATCACCTTTACGCTTGTGGGTTATATTTTTTAAAAAAATAGTGAAAAGCCATTTATTACAGAAGACAACAATGAAAGACCTCATATTTAACAAAATATAAATTAGAACATCAATCAGTGGCAAATGTACAATTGTAAATAAAAATCATTACAACTCATTCAACTGTTTGCACACTCAAAGGGTATGTTTGAAAATTCTGCCTCAGAAATAAATAAAATAAAATTTCAGAGGCAGTTTGTTAAAAGTGTTTCAAAGTTTCCAATAAAATTCACCACTCTTGCAATGCAAAGTCTGAAAAATGAAACAAGAGTGCCATTGGAATTCTGGTTGCCAGCTCTGATCTCTACAGGAGTTATTCCAGAGTGTAACAAAAGCAGCAACAGAAATAACCTTTGGCATTAGAGCACCATCCTGCATTAATTGGTCCTGCCAACAGAGCTTTGCTTTTGAACCCCTCTGATAATGAAACCTTGCCAGAACTGTGAGATTATAATGTTGATTTTCTTAAGAAGTTGTGAGTCCTTAACCCAGCATCTCCAGGTGAGCCCCTGCAATAGGAGAGTCCTGTTCCTGCCGTCAGTGGAGAGGAGGAATCAGGTGAGCTGAGCAGGCTGCAAGGGCTTGGATTTCTGCAGGGCTGGGATGTTTTCATGGGTGGACTTCTTCAAATGTGTTTGAGGGAGAAACAGTATTTTCTGTTTTATCAGCTTTCCAGTTTCAGAATGTTGCAATTTATCCCTAAAATCCAATATGTAGTTTCAAAAGATAAAAGTCCTGATCCTGAATCTTTTGGCCTCACCAGCCAATTGCAACTCGCCCAGGGAAGTTCAGAAGTGGAACCATCCATGAAATGCCCCCTTCTGTCCCAGAGATCCCCCAGAGATTCAGCTCCAGTGCCAAACCCCAGGGAGTGTCAGCTGCCACAAAACTGATGTTTGAGTTAGGTGGGTTCCATCTCGTGTTCTTTGGGGTAGCTGGCACATCTGGAGCAAGGGGGGTGGGCAAAGGTGTGTGATTGCCAAGGTCCAACACGGGCAATGTCCCACCAGCAGCAGTTTCTCTACTGAAGGAAGGCAATGAGTTGCAGAACTAATTGGTGAAATTTTTTTTTTCCTTTTGCATCTCTTGTAAATAATAAGGTATATATTAGATAACATATCTTAAATTTCCAGTTAGCAAAAAGTGTAATGGATTGCTTTGATATGAGTGTTTTGATTATGTTTTTGCTTATAGAAGTCCCTAAGGAATTGGTAAGGATTTTTTCCCTCCTCTCCTCCCCCCCAGTTAGTCACCAGGGTTTTCAAGCCATTGCTGGGCTAAACTCACACTGTTTGTTGTGAGGATGACAGATTGTGCTTCTTCAGGCTTGTCTGCTGTGCAGACAGACCCTCCTGTTCCCCCTCTGTGCCCCACACACGTCCTGGGTGTATGGAGGGAAAAGCAGGGGCAGATTTTGTTCAGATTTGGGGTTTGGGTAAAGAGATTCTATATTGGAGCAGCATGAAAACCATTTCTGTCTCTTCTGTGAGTTCACCCCAACATGGGCAATGTGTGAGGGCTCCCAGCAGTGTCCAGCCAATGTCACCCTTTAAATCTGGAGCCTGAAGGACCCTCAGCTTTGCTCCCCTTCGTGCCTGGGTCACACTTTGTTGTGTGTATGGCAGGGCTGTGAAGTTTGTTCCTTCCAGAAAACAACCCCCCAAATCAATCTGTATTTTTGGGACAATTTTGGGGGGTGTGTATTGGATGAACTTCTGTCCTGATATTCCCTATTTATTAATACCCTGCTGGCAGCATCACCAGTCAAGTTTCAGGATCACCTGACAAATGTCTGTGCTGTGCTGGGAGTTTGAAATACAGAAGTGCCAGTGTTTTAAAATGGTACTTATTTAACTTGGGTTATATAAAATAGAGATATAGAATGGGAAAACACAGCCAAAGCTTCTGGTAATTCCTTGGAGCAGCAGCAAAGTACTGGTTGGATTGGGTTGGATTATTGCAGGAAGAAAAGTGACAGATGCCCACCTGAACAGGGCACAAGAGGCTGAGCAAGTTCCAGGTTGCCCCAGATCTCCCAAAGGAAAAAATCCATGCCAGGTATGAACCATTGTGGATTGTCAGTGTTCCATGGCTGGGTGGCAGTTGGACAGGTAATGAGCCTTTTTCAGTTATGCTATTCAAACCTTTTTTATATATTCTCCTTTAATTGTGTAACAAATTTGCAGTTCAGGATAATGTAAAATATGTGTTTCATCATCTGAACAGTCTCAATCAAACCCATGAAAGATCTAATAAGTATTTTTTTTTGCAACAACCACATCTCTATAAAGTCCTGTGGAAGGATCAGAGAGTCCACACAGGAATAAACCACAGGAAAGGTCTTCTGAGTAGAGGAAGGGAGAGAAAGGAAAGAGACGAGTTCAGAAGGGAAAATATAAAAGGGAAAAGTTTCCCAAGCTTTTGCAGAACCAAAAAATGACAAATGTCCTTGTGTGTGATTACAGCTTGTAGCTCCTGGAAATGAAGGATCTTATTTTATATTTGTAAATCTTTACTTGGCCCAACCAGATAAATATGGTTTATAATCCAGGTGATGAACTAATAACAGGAGAGTTGCAGGAGTCCTGAAGCTCAGTCAAGTTAAAGGTTTTGACAAAGAGTTTAAACAAATCTTTTTGTCCATTCCAAAGAGTTCCAGAGGAGTTGATTTATTCCCAGTTGGTAGACAGGAGTCAGCTTATGAAGCCTTTTTAATTTAAGCAGGGCCCCGATGTGATCGTTTGGTAATTGCTGGAGTAAAATTAATAATAAAAACAAAACATTGTGAAGAATCAAATCCAAGTCATTTATTCTGCCATGACTCAATTTGGCTGTTTTTCCTGTTACTAATCTCCCTTTGAAAGGTGATGTTTTAAGGATTATAACTCCAAAATATTTTAATTTCTTAAGCTTGAGTCTGTCCTTCTTTGACCTACAGGCAAACTTAGTTTGCCAGGAAGCAGGACAGAACTAAAAATGCCTGGGAGCAGCACGTGGATGTTTTGCAGTTCCTGGTGAAAACTTGCAAGTTGTATCATCCATGTCATGAACACTGTAGTTGGCTCCATGTCCTATTGCACTGATTTCACCTCTGTTTTAAGATGAGAGCAGTGAATTCTCGTTGCAGATTTTTGTTTCTTTTCATTTCTGGCAGACAGAGTTGCTTCTGTTCAGCACAGCCCTGCTCTTCTCAGGAGCCCACGAGACACGAGCATGGACTGTCCTCCTGGGCCCCTCCTGCCGTGCCTGTGTCCCAGTGCACGTGCTGTGGGCAGCAGCCAGGGAGCTGGAGACACGAGTGTGCAGCCAGAAGGACAGCCTGGCCAGGGGTGCTGCAGTGCCCAATCCAAGGCTCCCGGGGTGCTGTGGCGGTGCCGAGTGGGAAAACCCTCCAGGCCGTGCTGGACAAGATCCCCCGGCAGCAAAGGCAGCTGCTCCATCTCCAGGGCACTCTCTCAATCCGGGGTTGCAGGAGCAGGATAAGGAATATCCCTGCACCTTGTTCCCTGTGGCAAGAGGCTCCATCCCTGTAGGAGCCTCCGTGAGCCCTGCTGGCTGGAGGCCGGAGGAATCCCGGGGGACAGGTCTCCCTTGTCCCCTGGAGCCGTGGGGATCAGCAGACCCCGCTCATCCCTGAGGATGCTCATGGCCAGGAGGAGACTGAGAGCAACAAGCCTGTTCCAGTGAGGCATTCCCAGGATAGAGTGGCACAGCAGCAAGTGTTGGTGCCCAATCCATGGCTCCCAGGATGCTGCCATGTGGGAAGACCTTCCACGCAGTGCTGGACAAGATGCTGCAGTGGCAAAGAGAAGTGTTCCCATCTCCAGGCTCTCTCCTGATCCAGCTCTGGAGGAGCAGGATATAGAATATCTCCACACCTCCATTACTCCTGGCAAGAGCCTCCATCCTTCCCAGAGCCTCCATGGATAAGAGTCCCTGCTCCCGTGGAGCAGTGGGTATCTGCAGACCCCGCTAATCCAGTCCCAGTGGGAGCCCAGCCCATTCCATTCCTGGATTCCCAGGGGCAGGTGGCACAGCAGCAAATGTCCCAGAGCCACCAGTGCCAAATCCACAGCTCCCAGGATGCTTCCATATGGGAAAACCCTCCAGACGTTGCTGGACAAGATCCTCCAGTGTCCCAGGCAGCTGTTCCCATCTCCAGGGCGCTCCCTCGATCCGGCTGTGCAGGACCAGGCTAAGGAATATCTCTGCACCTCCGTTAGTTCTGGCAGGAGCTTCATCCTTCCCAGAGCCCACGTGAGAACTGCCTGAGTGCCCAGGGATGAGCCCCACGGACAGGTGTCCCGGGTGTTCCCAACTCCAGGGTGCTCTGTCGATCTGGTGTGGCAGGAGCAGGACAAGGAAAATCTCCGCACCTCTGTTGGTTCAGGCAGGAGCCTCCATCCCTCCCAGAGCCTCCCTGAGCCCTGCCAGGCTTCAGATGGATCAGCCCCCATGGATGGCACTCCCTGCTCCCCTGGAGCCGCGGGAATCAGCAGAGCCCGTTCATCCCTGAGGGTGCCCATGGCCAGGAACAGCCTGGGGGTAACGAGCCCATTCCAGGCTCTCAGCTGAGGCATTCCCAGGAGCAAGTGGCACAGCAGAAAACTTCCTGGGGGTGCCAGTGCCCAGTCCACGGCTCCCAGGATGCTGCCATGTGGGAAGACCCTACAAACAGTGGTGGACAAGATCCCCAAGCAACCAAGGCAGCTGTTCCCATCCCCAGGGGCTGTCTCAACCCAGGTGTGGAGGAGCAGGATGAGGAATATCTCCACCCCTCAGTTACTTCTGGGAAGAGCTTCCATCCCTCCCAGAGCCTCCTGAGACCTGCTGGACTCCAGATGGATGAGCCCCCCTGGACTTTTTGGTGGGAGAAATAGAACATTGCTCACAACATTCCACTCTGGCCAAATAAGGAACAACAGAATCTGGAAGGATTTGATCAGGGATGTACCTGAAGCAACCAGCTCTGGGGACCCAGGGAAGATCAAACCCAAACGTTCCAGCCTTTGTGGTGAAAAACACTGACACTGTGCCTGCTCAGAACTGAGGGCAACAAGGGGACACCTCAACTTTGGGGGGCACCAGACACAGAAAACCCCTCCAGAGACCCCCAAAGAAGACCCCAAATGACCAAATGGGTACTTGCAATAGGGGGTGAGTGTGTAAAGCAAAGTAATGGGCATGTGTTGAGTAAGGGGAAATATCCAGTGCCTGTGGAATCTGTGTGTGATCCAAAGCCCTGTGTGTGTCCCTGGGCAGGCTGGATGAGAGGAATTCTCCTCCAGACCCCAGCAGCTGCACTAAAGAATTTCTGCTTCTTCCCCACCAACCAGCTGGGCTGAAGGGCTTGGTTTCTGCTGCTTTTGGGCATCATTGCTGGCCCCCAGATGGGCCCCTGTGCCTGATCTCCCGTGGATCCCAGGGATCTCTGGATCTTCACACTGGCACCAGGACTTTCCTGGAAAAGAGCACAGATCCCTGGGCCGCTCTGGGATGTGGGGAAAGTCCCATTGGATAATAAGGCATTCCTTTGGGAATGCTGCCCGTGTAAGATGTGTGGATCTTCCAGTGCTTTGGGGGGGTTATTTGGTGTTCCCCAATTTGGTCTCTGGCTTTGTTTTATCCACTGATCACTGGTTTGTGTTTGTCTTTGTTTCTGCACTGTAACATCTGCACAAGTGGGTTCTGGGTCCAAAACTGACCCCAATTGTACCAGCAGTGAGTCAGCAGTGTGGGGAGTGTGAGAGAAACAATCCAAACCCTGCCAGTGGGGTGGGAATAGGGGATGGAAAGTGTGGAAATGTTCCAGGTGAATGTTGGCAGATGGATTGCACTGAACTGCCCAGAGAAGGGGGGTATAAATATCTCCTGGTCTCGGGGGTACCTTCTCTGGGTGGCCAGAGGTTTTTCCTTGTGGCACCAACCAGGCTAGGGAAGGGAGTGGAATCCTGTTGAATCCAGGAATCCCTGGATTTGGGGTACCTTTGGGAAGGTCACCAGACAGAGGTTCCCACTGGACTGCAGAAACAAAATGCTTCAGTCTTGTTTTGCTCTTCTGATGCAAGTTAAAACACTCTTGGCATGGGGGAAAATTTCCATCTCATTTTAGTACCAAATGTGACCCCAGAGTTGCCTACAAGTACATGGATAAAGTGAGCAAGAATATCTGCTGAATGTGTAAATGTGTGTGTAATCAAAAGCCCTGTCTGTCTGTCCCTGAAGTGGTGAGGCCTGAATTACAGGCCCTGGGCCCAAACTGACCTCTCCATGACCCTTCCAAGCTGATGTTCTGTTTATCCATGTACCACTCATCAGCTAAAACTATATCTGTGTTAAAAACTGTGTTAAAAACTGTGTTAAAACTATATCTGTGTTAAAAACTTTTTAGTGAACCATATTAGTATCTGCTCAGTAGTGAACACTCTTTGTACCTGTTCATTGGTGAAATCTGTGTGATTGTCAGCAAGGTCTGATCTTTGTGTGTGTAGATCCTGGTCAAGGCCCTGGAAGTGATACCTGGCCTTGTCTGGCAGCAGATGGGGCAGGTTGACCCCCTTGGCTTGTGAGAAATAGAACATTGCTCACAGCCTTTCACAGGGGGCAAATAAAGAACAATATTATCTTGGATAAGTCCTGGAGGATTGGATCAGGGATGTAACTGAAGCAACCAGGATGTCAGCTGAGCTCTGGGGACCCAGAGAGGATCAAACCCAAACGTTCCAGCCTTTGTGGTGAAAAACACTGACACTGTGCCTGCTCAGAACTGAGGTCAACAAGGGGACACCTCAACTTTGGGGGGCACCAGACACAGAAAAACCCACCAGAGACCCCCGAAGAAGACCCCAAATGACCAAATAAGGACTGGGGATAGAGGGTGTGAGTGTGTAAAGCAAAGTACAGTATTTGTGTGAAGGGAGAATATCTAATGAGTGTGGAAACTGTGTGTAATAAAAGCTCTCTCTGTCTGCCACTGAAGTGCTGAGGCTGAACAACAGGCCCTGAGCAAAGTTGGCCTCTAGAGCTCCAACCTGATGTTCTATTTATCCCTCATCAGCTAAAACTGTGTGTGTTTGTGAGTAAAAGATGTAGCGTGATAAGACTACACTGTGTGTCTGCTCATCAACAAAATGTCATTAGTAAGATGTATTAATATCTGCTCATTAGTGGATACTGTTTGTGTCTGTTCATTAACAGAATGTGTGTGATTGTGAGCAAGGTGTGACCTTTATCTCTCCGTGTTTGGGGGCTGGTGAAGGCCGTGGCAGTCGATGTCTGGCCTTGCTTGGCAGCAGATGGGACAGGTTGGCTCCCTGGGTTTGCCCCTTCAGGCCTGGCCAGGCTTTGGGTGGGACCCAGGAGGAGAAGGGAGCCAGATGTTTGTGCACACTGGGAGCTCTGGGAGCTCGTTCCTCCCAGGCCAGCAAAGCTGGGCCCCTCCCAGCAGAGCCAGACAACACAGTTCCATGGGGCCCTGCAGTGTCACAATGGGCCCTGATTCCATGGACAACATTCCTAATTTACTGTCCAGACCAGAGGGAAATCACAGGAAGGGCCATGGTTTGTCAGGACTTGCTTTATTTGAGTGAGCCCCGTGGGGCTTTTGGTGCTGAGTCCTTGTGGTTCAGAGAAATCCTCCACAATGTGTCAGGCACGCTGTTATCAGGGCTGGGGAGGTGCAGGGGGTTTGTCCCCCCGTGCATTCCACCCAGAAAAGAAACACAACAGCTTTTTATACCTTTGGAGGAGTGAGTTTAAAATTATCTATCACAAACACTCTTTATAAAGTCTGCCTTATCTAAATAGACATTTGGTTGCCTAACTCCTATTCCTGCTACTATAGAGTGGTTACATAAAGTTTTATCATTTCAAACAGCTCAGGTTTCCCCCACCCCTCTTCTGTCTCCCTTGCCATGCTCCATGCTGGAAGTCTTTCCTGCTTTCCCTGACAGTCCCTTTTGTTTACATCAGCTTTATCTCAATTGCCCTCAGTTTGGGCAGCAACCTTCTTTCAAGCAGTTACAATCTTGCAAAGTCACACTTAACAGAGCGAAATTTTACTAACGTGTCTAATTTTTGTGATATTTTATCGTGTCTTTGTTTCACACCCAATGCCTCCAAGACCCTTTTTAACTCCCACAAATGCACCCAAAGCCCTCCAGATACCCATCCAACCACCCTCAGATCTCCCCCAGCCCCCTCTCAAATCCATTCTAACCCCCTCAAAGAGGGATCACCCAGCACCCTGGGACAGGAACACAGTGGGTTGTACTGGGGGTACTGGGCTGTACTGGGAGGGCACTGGGGTGGGCTCAGGTGTCCCACAACAATGTGGCCCAGCTCCAGGAGAGATCTGGGAGCAGTGAGGAGGTCCTGGTCTGTACTGGTCCGTACTGGTGTGTCCTGGGCTGTACCCCCAATCCCCAAAGCCCCTCCCCGGCTCCTCCAGGACCCTCCTGGACCCCAAAGCCCCCCAGGTCCCTGACTTGGTCCTGCTGCCCCTTGAGCATCTCCAGCTCCTGCAGAACCAGCATTTCATGAGCAAATTTGCAGCTGACACCAGGTTGGAGGGGTGCAGGATGTGCTGGAGTGGGTGAGTGTTTAGACCCAAGCCCTTCCCTTCAGGAGGTGCAGCCCCAGCAAATGAGCAGGAAGTTCACCCCAAATCAAGGTTTCACTTGCTTTCTCCTCCCCTGGTAAGCAGCATCTCACCTTTGCTGTTCTTTGGGGGGTTGTGTGTGGGGGTTACAGCTGCTTCTGAGGTGGCTGCAGTTCTTCCCTCTTTGCTGAGGCTTTCTGTGTGTCCTTTGAGCTGAATGCCAATGGGTTTCACAGCCCCAGGGAGACCTCTGAGAAGGGCAATCATTCTTTCAGGGTCTGCAGGCAGCATCACAGGGGATTCAGGGCTTGGTGCTCATTCCCTATCACCCATCATTTGTAAACAAGTAGCTTGTTGGACACTTTCCACAATCTGATGAACATTTCCCACTGTAGCCAGGGGATCTCTCCTTTCCAGGGTGTTGATTCCCCCTTCCCAATAGGCTGCTCCTGTGGTCAGGAAAACTCCGGCTCCCCAGAACCCTTCAGCCTCTCTGTTGATAACAATATCTGGTCAGGCCCAGTAAGAGAGACTCTCCAAACATACTCAGTCTCAGAATCCTTGAGGGGTTCTGCTCTATTCCTTTTTAACTTAGCTAATTCAGTCGCTGACTGAGGAACTTCTTTTGCAGTTTTTTGAGGGGCATTGTCATTTGAGAATCTGTGTATTCTGTTTTAATGAGGGGATGGAGCGAGACCGACAGCTTTTCCCCTTGGTCCCGCAAAGGTTTGAAGTCAGAGAGGGGGATGTTTCTTTAGATGACTCCAGCTGTGACTCCTCTCTCCTTTCTCTCATCAGTCTCGCCTACAGCTGCTCTCGGAGCGGCGCTTTCGTTCCTCCTCTGTCCCCGGAGGACACTGCAGCAGCCGCTCGTTCCTCCCGCGGATCTGCCCAGATCGCCCCGCGCAGTCCCGAGTTCCGCGCTGGTTCTTTCGCTGCCACAACTACAACTCCCGTGGTTCCCCGCCCGGGGCTGGAAGGGCGGTGCCCGCTCTCTGATTGGCTACGGCGGGGGCTTTAAAGGCGGCGCGCGCTCTCAGCGCCATGTTGTGCAGCAGCGATCCAGGTGAGGGAGATGGCGGCTGCGGGGAGAGCGGGGCTGTTGGAACTGGGGAACTGTGGAAAGCCTGGAGGGCTCGGGAGGGTTTAGTGGGGGAGTTCGAGGGTTCCCGAAGGGCGGAGCGCGGCGATTGAAACCGTCTCGGGGGTGGGGAGAACGGGGAGCCTCTCCCGGCGATATGGCTTAAATGCGCAGGCGCGCCGGCCATGAGGGAACTGCAGCCCCCATGAGGCTTTGCGCAGCACCGCCATTCCTGCTGCAGCCACAGCGCCCCCTGCCGGCCCGGCGGACCGAGCGCAGGAAAGGGGGTGCTGGTGCCCCCCCCCCTTCGAGCCCCAGAGACCCCCAAAACTCATCACACAGAGACACCAATGGGAGGGGGGGTCAGAGGGTCTCCTAAAGTCCAGTAATGGGGTTCAGAGGGTCCCCCAGCGCCGAGGGCAGGGGTCTTATGCGTGCCCCCTGAAATATGGGGGGTCGATGTACCATATTCAGGTAATGGGGGGCCAGCGCCCCCAGTGTAGCCCAGTGACCTCCCACTGCCCCCCAGTATGGCCGGATGATCCTCCAGTGAGCAACCAGAAACTACCAGTATGGCCCAGTAACCTCCCAGTGTCCCCCCGTGTGTCCTGGTAATCCCCCAGTAATTCCCCAGTCCCTCCCAGTGCCCCCTGGTTCCCCCCAGTGTGTCCCAGTATACCCCAGTAATCACCCAGTGCCCTTCAAAGCCCCCCAAGTGTCCCCAATGTGTCCCCAGATGCCCTTGACCTTTCTGTCAGCAGAGGGGGAGGGAGGATGGCGGGAGCGTTTTTGGGGTCAGAGGGTCAAGGGGGTGGCTTCTGCAGGGAGATGGAGGGTTGGGAACATCAGGGGTGGCTTTGGGGACAGTGGAATCGGGGGTGTTAAGGGGGAAATTGGGGCCATGCAGAGGCCCTGGGGACATTGGAGACACCAGAGAGGGTCTCAGGGTGTCAAGGGAGAACTGGGGACACCAAGAGGGTCTTGGGGACACCAGAGGGGGTCTCAGGACTCACCTGCTTCCCCAAATGTCCCCTAACCACCCTTTTTTCTTTAATCCTCTCTCCCCACAGATCCTTTTGACCCCTCCAATGCCCCCAAGACCTCTTTTAGCTCCCCCAAATGCACCCAAAGCTCCCCAAAACCCCCCAAATCTGCATTCAACCCCCCTAAAGAGGGATCACCTGGCACCCTGGTACAGGAGCACAGTGGGCTGTACTGGGGGCACTGGGCTGTATGGAGGGCACTGGGGGAGCTCAGGTGTCCCATGACAGCGTGGCCCAGCCCCAGGAGAGATTACGGGGTAGTGAGAAGGTCCTGGTCTGTGATTCTTGGCCTGCACTGAGCGCTGGGGAGGCCACCCTGGAGTGCTGTGTCCAGCTCTGGGCCCCTCAGGTCAGGAAGGGCATGGAGGGGCTAGGGCAGGTGCAGAGAAGAGCAGGGAGGCTGGGGAAGGGACTGGAGCACAAGTGCTGTGAGGAGAGGCTGAGGGAGCTGGGGTTGTTGAGCCTGGAGAAGAGGAGGCTCAGGGGAGACCTCAGCACTGTCCCCTCCCTCCAGGACACCCAACCAGAAATCCTCGGTGGGACCTTTTGTGTCTATTGCTGGTTGCTGCTTCATCCTGGGGACCTGAGGGCCCCTCTGCAGTCCCATCCCTGGGGCACAATCTGCTCTCCAGAGCTCGACTGACTCCCTGCAGACTTTGCAGGGCAATCTGTGCTCGCAGCTGCATCCTGAGCCCAAGGTAAGGATTTTTTTTTTCTGAATCTTAACTTTTTGCAGTTGTGGAGGGGGGTTCGTCTTGCTATTTCTGGTGTTTTTTTTCCTGAATCTCAGTGGTTTGGGTTTTTCTGGGCTGAATTTTGTTATTTTGGAGGTTTTTACGGTCCCAGGATGCCTGGTGAGTTCTAGAGATGGACTTGGGCAGGAGGAACACTCAAGCCAATGCACTCAGCCCTTGTTTCCCATCCAGCAGGATTTGTCCTTCCCAAAGCTTGGGCGGATGGAGGAGGAGGCTGCAAGAAAGACGAAGTTGCTGCAGGCCCCCCAGGCAGGTGAGGAGGAAGTCAGTGGCCCTTTGGCCCTGTCTTGTGGTGTATCTGTTGAGCAGCCTCCCAGCAGGGAGAAGCCTTTCAGGTGCTTGGAATGTGGGAAGAGCTTCAGCTGCAGCTCCAGCGTGATCCGACACCAACAGATCCACACTGGGGCACGGCCCTACTCATGTAGGGAATGTGGGAAGAGGTTTCAGACATGCACAAATCTCCTCCAGCACGAGCAGACACACACAGGGGAACGGCCCTTCCGCTGCACTGACTGTGGGAAGAGCTTCACCCGGAATGGCAACCTCATCAGGCACCAGCTCATCCACACTGGGGAACGGCCCTACAAGTGCTTGGAATGTGGGAAGAGGTTTCAGCGCAGCTCAATTCTCCTCAGGCATGAGCGGACACACACAGGAGAGAGGCACTTCCGCTGCACCAACTGTGGGAAGGGCTTCAACCAGAACTCCACCCTCATCAGGCACCGGCGCATCCACACCGGGGAGAGGCCCTACAAGTGTGGGGAGTGTGGGAAGAGCTTCACCCAGAGCTCCCACTTGACCAGACACCAACGGACCCACCAGTAAGGGAAGGCCCTACGAGTGCCCCGACTGCAGGAAGAGCTTCGGCCGCTGCTCCCACCCGGAATGACCCCCCTGATGGTGAGGCAACCCCTGGAGTCCAGTGACTGTCAGTCCATCCCTTTCTACCAGAAAGGACCAGTCCCCTTTGCCAGGGGCAGGTTGTGCCAACAGAACCCTTCTTGGGGGGTGTGTGGAGATTCCTGCCTTGGCTGGGACCCTCCAAGGTCAGTGCTGGGGGTTGAGAGCAGAGATCTCCACACGAGTGTTGGTCTGGGGGAGTTCCATCCCTCTCTAATAAGTAATTCTTGCTTTGGTGCCAGCTGGAGTAGAATTGCTCCAACAATTGCTTTAGTGTAGAGCACTGTCCTATCTTATGCTGTACTACTGGTAGTTTTGGTGTTTCTATTGTGCAGTAAATAATTCTGATGAAGATCTTTTGTCTGATCATTTGTAACCCTAAATAATTCGTTTCTGTCAGTAAATGTGATTTGCCATCCTTAAGACCTGGGGGACAAAAGTGGTTCAGTCCCACCTCTGTAATTCCTCTAAACTGAAAGTGTTGGCATAACCCGAGGCTGAGATTGGATCCAGCAGCCCCAGCACCCCACAGTCAGTTGGGAGCTCAGGGAGCCACCCCCCTTTTCCCAACACCCCTCAGCCCAAAGACCCCCATGGGACAGTCAGACTGTGCCAGACCACCCCCCTTTTTCTACCCTTCTCCCTGTTCCTCCCACTTTTCCATGGTCTCCTGTTACAATCTGCTTAAATATTGCAGAAAGAACTTGAGATTCAAATATTCCCTTAAGCAAAACTAAAACTCACACAATTATACAATTTATCTGTTGATACCAAAAACTGATTTTTTTTAATTGCTAAGAGATGCAAAGAAAAAGGAAAAATAAGAAAAGGTTGGAAACTGCTAAGATTATTTCTAGAAGCAAAGATACCACTGAAAACTTCTTTTTCCCACTGAGCTGGTCTGTGTGTGGGGGGAGAAGCAGTTTCTGTCTTTTTTTATTCTGTCTCTGCAGCTTTTGGATGTTGTCTCTGTAGCTGCAGGGGGTCTGACAGCTTTAGTTCTCTGCAATGCACCATGTGTGGTTTCACTGCTCACGCCCCTGTCCCAGGCTGTGCAGGGTCTCAGCTCAGCCGAAGCTTTGGGCCCTCAGAAATATGGTCAGGGTAGAAGGATAAGGTAGAACTCCCACATGTGGCACGGTGGTCTCAGCTCTCTCCAGGCCGGCACAGTTCCAGTCTCCGGTGGCAGGCAGGCAGCACACGGTGGCGGAGAAAAGGTGAGGGGAGGTGGGCAGAGATTCTCAGCTACAGTCACCAGTTCTTCTCCCTTTCCTCTCCCTGATTTTCCAAAATTTGTCCTCAACTTTTATAGTATTCAAAGGAGGTTGAATGTGGTTTCTTGACACGTAGCCAGTTCAGATGTTGGAGGAGATATGATAATCATAAACAATAACAGGATCTTTTAGCAGGAAAAGTGCTGTGGGAAGTCCTGGTGAGAACTTCTGGCAGAGAGCTGACAGAGAATGTTTGATAGGAAGGTTTTGACAGGCAGAAACCATTTTTGGAATTTCTATATTATCTGTGTGTTACAGATGGTTGCCATGGTGAACGACGTATCAATAAGAATGCATAATGGTTGCCTTATTAACCGAACCTATCAATGCAAATGCACAATGGTTGCCATGGTAATGCACATATCAATGAGTATGCATAGTGGTTGCCAAGGTAAGCGATGTCACAATGAGAATGGACAATGGTTGCAATGGTAACCAACTTCACAATTAGAATGCTTAATGGTTGCCATGGTAATCAGTGTAACAATGAGAATGCACAATGGTTGCCATGGTGTAAGGGGGTACTTTTGATTTAGATGATCAGCGGAGCACATAGGGGTGAGAAAGTGATTATATTCGCATGTGAAACCAGCCAGAATATTGTACAATGTAACTTTATTGCACAAGTTCACTGTAAGGTGTATTAAATACGAGGACGACCAAAATAATAAAACTGGGCATCTTATGATGATGGCCTAAATTCAGCTTTTATTCTTTCATCCAGAATATTACATCTTGTCTTCACACACCTGCACTCACAATCTCCTGTAGAATCTTACATACTAAACGTATTCTTAGCTCTGTTATCTATAATTTACCACTAGCCTTCACATATGATTGGATGTTCACCTCTGATTTACATTCTTTTCCATGCTGCTAGGCACCACGGCCTTGCTGCATCCTCCAACAGTAAGGCTCATTGTGCCTTTAGCAAAGTTAACTGGATGTCCCCCATTATCAGAGCTGAGTTCCTCCTTGGCTTGGCTCCACTCTGCAAGAGAGATACAAATCCCCTTGAAACACAATGGTACAGGTCGTCCATAGGGCTGAGGAAGGTGATGGAGAGGAAGATGATGTGGGCAGGGGTCGTTGGCCCCTTGCCCTACAGTGGGGCACGCCCAGACTGTTGCCATGAGGTGATGAACGGGCGCTGTTTGGCTGCCACTCAAGCACCACCTTCTGCTGCGTCCTGGCCCTACGTAGTGTAATGTAGAGCTGATGGAATGGGGTGTCAGCACTGCTGGGTGGAGCGATGCTCATCCTTCCATCCACACTGTGCTGCTCCGCGGGGACACCCACCAAGCACGGGCACCGACCAGCCCTGCAGAGCCTGGTAGGCCTGGCCTGTCTGTGCAGGTGAGCACAGTTTATTGATAGGAAGCAACCAAGGAAAGCAAACATTTTATATCCTTTTTTTTTTGTATCCCTTTAATTCTCTTTTTACTAGCTAATGCTGGAATAGAGGTTGTTCGTAGTATTGTATGAATGCCAACTGATAAAGTAGTGTTTTTGTATTCTATTTTAACTTTTGATTCTCTTTGCTAGGAGTTTTTTTATTCTCACTGCAATAAAAGATTTTTTGTAGTGTTTGAATGACTGCTGTACTTGTCTTTGTTCCAGGCGTGGATTCAAACGAACTAACACAGAAGGGACTGGGAAGAGGTTTCAGAGGGTTCTGGGTGGGG